TATATATAAAATATTTGAAATCAACATATAATATATTAACAATATATATAATATTAATTGAAATTAACTCACAATCAGTAATTAAATTTGAAAAATAACATTTTATTAAATTTGTAAGTACTTTGTATAAAATTTAATTAAAAAATGGAAAATTTACAAAATAACTATGATAAAAATATTTTAAGCTTATATCTACTATATTATTTTACGTTTCTTCACTGATGTTTACTCACAATCAAACACAATTACTTGCACAATTTTTTCTCTTTTTTTTTGCGTGCCCAAATAATTATTTTGCACATTTGCCATTTAATAGTTATCCAATTTATCAAATAATTCTCCTTTTATTTTATCACTTCATCGGAATTCCGTCAAATACAAACACTCACCTTTCATTGTGGAAAATCCATTTACTAAGTAAAGAGACGAGTATCTATGTCTTTACTTATTAAATTGTTAACTGACGAATTCGTCTTTATGAAATGAGTTTTATATAAGCGCACGGCGCATTATCGCATGGTATGTGCTTATCATATCTAACATTTGACAGAACCCTTCTCTTATAAAAGTCACTTAAGCATATTAAAGTAGGTGCAAAAATATATTTATACGTATCAATTACAGGATGTCAATTAAATAAACGCGGAATAAAATTGCAAACATTCGTATAGAGGAGAGAATTTATTTTATTAAAGCATTCACCCATCACGCTGGAAATGAAAGTGTAATAATCTTAAAATAATAAAAAATATAGCAATAAAAATGTTAACTTTTTAAGGAAATATTGAAACGATATTAAAATTAAATACACAAAAATTACAAGTTTCTGAACTTTTTTTGTTTAAAAATTCAATTTCTTTGATTTTTGTAAATTTATTTATTAATTATTCAAGATACATACATTCTATCTGAAATAACAATGCTTTTATAGTGATCATATGCACAATTTCTAGAAATATCTCTAATAAACTTCTTCCGAAATACATTGATTTCGATCGAAACTTTCTGCATTTTACGATTAAACTGTATAATCGTACACAGTACGATTTTTCAATAATTAAGTAACATAATAAATTAGCATACAACTTGCGATTTTAGTTTTATTAACTTTTCTTAAATTTTCTTAAGACAACTTTATTTTAAGGCGATTTTAGCTTCAGATTTAGTTGCAAAGAATTATGAAAATTAGAAAATTGCGACGTCTAAATGACATCTCTTAACCGTTTATAAAACA